ACTCTGTCTGTCGATCAACAAACAAACATTTCTGCAGTTGACGGACGGAATTGCACTAAATGCTGCGTGAGAACTTAGTGGTGGAAGAGGAGCAGGAGGGCGGACACGACGACGAAGAGGGCGCTGGGGACGTGCGTGTGGGCGGCGTTGAAGAAGATGAAGCTCGGCTCATCGCCCGAAGACTGGATCAGAAGCGGCTCCTCCGGCGCGGGCACGGAGCGACCCAGGTTCATGGCGTGCTCCAAGATCAGGCTCTCCTCGACGGACTCCCTGAGGGTCTTGAAGGGCGTGTCCTCGCCCGAAGTCTCGTTGAAATAGTCGCCCACCTTCAGGTACGCCATCATGGTCAATTCGAAGATCTTGTTGGGGTCGCTGGATTGGCTGTCGATGTCCCGGCGACGACGTCCGTAGCCGAGCTGCCCGTTGCTGCACGCGATCTGCAACGACGGAGGAGATCAGGGCTTGGGGTCTCGGGCGCCACCTGCCTCGGTGTCGAGAGCGAGGCAGGCGTCAGGAAATAAAGACAAGACAAAACACCTTTGTACACAGACAATGATAATAACAACTTTAGTAACAACGACAAAAAAAAAAAAAAAAACAGTTAAAATCATGAAATCGTCTCAATATAACGAGGAACAGAAACAGGTTCCGCCGAAGCTCCAACACTCACTCCTTGGCACTTGTCCAGACACACGTCGACGGTGCCACGGAACAGGACGTAGCTCGTCTCGGGGAACTTGAAGGCGCGGAACTTGGCAGACACTGAGTCGCCGCTCGTCGTTATGAAGTTGTCGAACAGAATGGGGTCGACGGAACAGCTGGGGGGGGGGGGAGGGAAAGGGGGGGGGTTACAGTCTGCACCTTTAGATTGTTAATACTGAAAACATTTGATTTTTTTTATAGTTTATCAAGAGCTACTAAGATGCTAACAGTACAATAAACATACATACAAAAAGAAGAAAAAGAATATGTTGATGAGTATGATGATGATGAAGATGAAGATGAAGATGATGATGAAGATGATGATGATGATGATGATGATGATGATGATGATGATGATGATGATGATAACACCAATATCACCACCATCAATGAACATAAGTAAAACC